AGGTAAACATACTCGTCAATAAATTAGAGCGTATTGCTCACTACTGGCATAGGTGTGACATGGACGTTACACATGACTTTTATTTTGTCCATGTCTTAAGCCCTATCCGTTGGGAGGCACTATTGAGGTCAATGAGCATAGTGCTTAGGTCCTCCAGCGATTCTGCCATAAGGACAGCAGTGAAGAGTTTCAGGGATATAACGTCATCCTGTCTTACACCTCTCGCAGTTGGATAGGTTTTGTACTCTGGTTCTGTACTGGATAGCCATCGTACCCCTACTGTACAAACACTTCAGCACTTCGATATACCGACAGTTAACTTGGCACCGCTGAAGAGACTACAAATGTGGTACGGTACAAAATTTCGATGGAATCAAAGACTTTCTCATAGTCCATATAGGTAAGGAAAAGTTGCAGATACTCTTCGGTCTTCTGTATAATTTGCCGAAGGGTACGTATGTGGTCAATGGTGCAAAAGCCTTTTCGGAATGTAACTGTTAACTACAAAAGCAGAATCAATTTAATAACAAAAGCAGGTTATTTTTACACAGCAAAATAACTTTAATCTGTGACTAATTAATGCACAGTTGTTTAAATTAATGATCTTTATTAGCCACACACACACGCTTGCCGATATGTGGCACTTAGTATTAACCTATTTATATTCAGTACAAAGTTTACTTTCGACATTCATTTAGAATGAGGCATTTTAAATGAAATTTAAATTCATTTTAAATGTTTAGACGGATTGGCAACCGCAGTTTTTTTTTATAGAATCGGGTGACAAACGAGCACACAGTCCACCTGATGCTAAGTGGTTGCTGTAACCCATAGACATCTACATCTATCTTAGTTTGCGAATCAAAATGCAGATGCGTTGTCACCCGTGAGGACTAAGATGGAATGCCTCTTTCCAATTAAATGTGGCTCCGGTTCCCTACACTCACCATACGAAACACAGCAGCATTAAGCTGCTAAAGTTCTTTTTATTATCTTTAAGCTGTTATCAGGAAGGTGCTGCTGTCCATTTCCTGTTACAGCTTCCCTCAGTCGCCAGTTAAGACATTTGTTTGAATAGATCGGCTCATCCGGGAAAAGACTTTTATCATTTAGAATATGATCATAAAATAGCAGCTTAATGCTGGCATGTTTCGTATGGTGAGTGTAGACAACCAGATACCTTTTTTACTGAAAACGAGGCATTTAATATAAGTCCCCAGGGGTGACAATGTATCTGCATTTTGATTCTTAGTCGAGGATAGATATAAATGTCTAGGGGCCACAGCATCCACTTACCATCAGGTGGATTTTGAGCTTGTTTGTCACCCTTATTCTATAAAAAAAAATCCCCATATCATCCCGTGGGTGTCGTAAGAGGCGACAGAGGGAAACGTTAACAGAAGATGGCTTGCAGCATCTTCCTAATATCAAACTCAAAATAATAAACATTGTGGTTGCCAAACCGACAGCTAAGCCAAGCGTGGCGACTATAACAAAATCTCCCCTTTGAGGAACTCAAAGGGAGTGATATGTTCAACAGTGAACTTTCATAGGCTGCAACGGATGAATGGATGGTTTGTGGTTTCACATAATAATTTTTTTACACTCACCATACGAAACACAGCAGCAGCGTTAAGCTGCAATTTTACGCTGGTATTCTGTGAGAGCGTGGTCCTTCCCCGGTCAAGCCAATCCATTCGTGCTACAACTATACTAGTAATATAGCTGCAGCATGGCTCTACGACATAATAAAACTATGCTAACGTTTACTGTTATGTGGTGCTGTTGCCAAATTAAGAAAAAAAAATCTTATTTTATAGACTCAAATGTACCTAATAATGTACCTTCTGCTCGTTATTTATAACATTTATTAAGTTTCTGAAAATAAAGTTCGTGACACTAACAGTTACCGAGGTGATCCTGAATTTAGGGCGTGGAACAGTCATGATGTTGGTAAATCAAAGTCCATGCGAACAAAGCCGCGGGAAAATGCAACTTTTTGACAAACGAGCACACAGTCCACTTGCTGATAAGTGGATTCTGTGGCACATAGATATCAACATATCTATACAATTAAATAAAATTGAAGTGTCTGTTCGTAATGTCAACATTACAGCTTTTTACTAAATGCATATGAAAGTTTATACGGTACTTATAACAAAAACACAATTTTTTAAATTTTTGTCTGTCTGTCAGTTTGTTCTGGCTAATCTCCAAAACGGCTGGACCTATTTCAATGAGACTTACACTGGAAAATAGCTGATGTTATACGGAGTAACTTAGACTACTTATACTTTAGAAAAAGAATTAGGGTTCCGCGCAACTTAATGAAAACCCTAAATTACAGGCGGCTAATTTTTTAAATAAAATACTAGCAATGTTTATTAACATTACTAATATTCCCTGTAACTACTCCTGATAAGCTTAAAAAGCTTGTGTTAGGAGTGGTTCACGACAGTAGTCGAATGGCGAATTCGAATCCACGACCTTTTGAGTTAGCGGCCCATACCCTACCAATAGGCTACTGTCGCTTCCACTTTTTCACACTACATTCTCTATTATGAATCAAAATATAAATGTCAACACTGAAGACCGTGATGAAATTCTTCGTTTCCAGTAAAAAGTGTTTCCCGTTCTCTACTCACGAAGTTCTCTACTACGAAGCAGGTCTTAGTCATCAGGGGTGACAACGCATCTGCATTTTGATTCGTAATCGAGGATAGATGTAGATGTCTATAGTAGTACGTCAACTACTTACCTTCAGATGAACTGTGTGCTCGTTTGTCACTCTTATCCAATAAAAATAAAAATCTACGGCTATAAACTCAAAATTTGAAAACTGTGGTGGCCAACCCGCCTGTCAGGTATTTCTTGAATGCTATGTTTCGTAGTGGACTTTTGATATGTCGCAGTGAATATGGAAAAGACAAAACAGTTGAATTCGATGATGACACAGCTATACGCGTTTTAAATGGCGCGCCCTTTTTCTTATGCTATATCACTGGCTTTTATGGCTGACAAATCATAAATAAAGATTTTCTTATCATTTATTTTTATATCAATTTAATTTGAGTCTGACCTGTTCAAATACTTTTGTTAGTAAATGGCCCTATGTAAAATCGAATTTGACACCTCTGATCTAAATATCCATATTAACGGTTCCTGGTACTAGCTTAAGAGCCAGTGAGCGGCAGACTTACGGTATTTCAATAAGGTTCACGTTTTTCTTCAGTTAATCCCCTATACCTGAGGTACATGAAACGGGGACTTTTTAGTTTGCCCGGCGGTCGATATAGACACGCTCTTATAGTTATTAAGTACCTTCTGCGTAGCATTGCAAGGAAGTTAATGGTTTTAGCTGGCAGTCTGTTAGTCTGTATGCCGACACGATAACTTCCGTTCCACTGGACCGATTGACTTTAAATTTGGTATGTGGATACCTTGAGGTAGTAACTCGGTCGAGTTTGAATTTGGGTCCTGTAGGTCAAAGGGCACCAGAGATATGGGATTCACGCAGAAGGAAGTTGTTTTTCTTGTATTTACATTCAACTCGTTATTATTATAGAGGCGCTCAGGTGTTAAAGGTGTAAAAAAAATGACCCATAAAAACGTGATAGTAATAAGTCTGCCGCTTTGATATCTTGACATATTTAATAAAATTTACCGAAAAATAACATTGGCAGACACCTATGACGGTTTCAAGGTCATGGCAGACAGGTTGAAAAGTACAATTTTTTATTCATAATTTACGTTATTTCAATAAAGCTGCAATTTATATATATTGTTGATAATATTATTTGACATGTATAATTTTCACGGCAGACATATATTGTGGTTGTATCACCCAGGCAGACAACAAACTTCTCGGGCGTCCATAAGCGCGTACTATTAATAACGCTCGCTCTAATACAGTCGTTAGATCAATTAAAAAAAAAATTATATGAATTGAAAGTTAATACGATTAAATATTTCAAGATATCAAAGCAACAGACTTATTGCTATCACGTTTTTATGGGTCATTTTTTACATCTTTAACACCCGAGCGTGTCTATATCGACCGCCGGTCAAACTAAAGAGTCCCCGTTTCATGTACCTGAGGTATAGGGGATTAACTGAAAAAAAAAGTGAAGCTTATTGAAATACCGTAAGTCTGCCGCCTCACTGGCTCTGACTGCGGGTTCGAATCTCGTACCGAACAAGTATGCATGGCCTACAAATAATTGTTACGAGTTTGGATGTACTATATCCTTGTGCAATTTATGTTTGTAAACTGCGGCCATGATACAGGAGAAAATCGTCGTGTGGCGGTAAAACTTCATAAAAAGAAAAAAAAACAAATATGTTTTTGATTCTCTTCAGTTTTTTTTTTTGTGTAAATTTATTTTGAGTCTGACCTTTAGTAAATGGCCCTATTGATCGACTCGAGTTTCTCTCTGACCTTAGGGGAAAGGTAGAAATAAAACAATATAAACAATTATTATAAAATGCTTTATAGTAAATATTAAAAAAAATATATGGCACAACTATAAAAATATTCATATAATTAAAACTATTACCGGATAACAATCACAAAACTGTAATTCTTAGTTTTATTGAACATACAGAATGGGGTCATGTTCCATACAATAAATGAACCGACTAACTCTATAACGCGTTTTTTATCGTACACACAAATCAATATAATGCATTCACTAGGACTTTTATTTAGGTGCTAGGGATGGTAGTGCTGGGATTGACGACGACGGGTATAGTGCGCGCGATTGAGGGAGGGATCATTTGCTTTCTTTACGCGGAATTAAGCAAATTAGTTTATAACAACCCCATTATAATGGATTTCCGCAAAGTAACGCCTGATTCTATTAATTAAACTCTTTTAAAATGTTGTACATAAGAACAAAATTAACTATTTAAAAATACTTTAGATTATATATGATCACTTTTCATTTACTGTACGTTATGCCACGACGACCTATATAATATTATATATCACAATCTTCACTTTAATCTTCCACTTCATTGAAATTCAACGCATCAAATTTCTCATCGTCATCGTCACTGTCCCTAAGTTTCTGTAAAAAAAAAAATAAAAACATTATCAACAACATTATAAAACCAATATTTTTTCATCAAAATCCATTCCTACTAAACATATTGCTCTCCGATAAATTGCCTCCAAGAGGACATCTATTTTCTGTAATGTTAGTGCTGTTAGTCTATATGGTGTAAGAGCCTTTATATGACACAGGACACATATAGCTATTTAATAAAGGGAAAGACAATGATAATGAGGATGATGCTGATGGTTTATGATTTGATATTGTTACTAATCATCATGTCCCCTCTGTTGAGGTTTTTTGAGCTATCTAACCGCTGTCCGAGTGGGGGAGTGCGGACCCCCGCCTGTGACTGCTTAGCTCGTGTCGGTCGATGTTCTGGGCCAGGTACGCGGGTGTACGCTGTGCACTGGAACGCGTCCTGCCCGCCTACGGATGCGACGCGTCCCATCCGTTATCCTACTTGTGCTTGGCCTATTTGGTGTGGGTGTATTGATTTTTTTTTTTTATATAGAATTAGGGTGACTAACGAGCACACAGTCCACCTAAGTAGTTGCTGTGGCCCAAACACATCTACATCTATCCTTGATTACGAATCAAAATTGTCAACCGTGAGGACTAAGATGGAATGCCTCGTTTCCAGTAAAAAAGGTCTCCGGTTCTCTACACTCACCATACGAAACAGAAATGAGAAGGCCTGTGTCCAACAGTGGGACGTATATAGGCTGTAACTTGACTTTTACTATTTTTTCAATTACTTATAGAACTTACAATCAGCAGCTCGGGTTCCCAGCGTCCAAAGGACTTCTTAAAAGACTCCGGTTCCAGTCCCTGTTTAGTCATTACGACGTACCATTTGTTGGGATAACCTCTCTTCAACGGCTGTACATGGTTCTGGAAAACAACAAAGTAACAACTTATCGTACATATTTCACATCCACAAAAGTCCACTTCTGAACAAAGGTCTCAGCCATAGATTGCCTCATATTTGGTACACATAGTTGCCACGCTTGGCAAGCAAGTTGATAACTTTTTTATTATTTTGAGGTATTTGTCAGCTAGTGCCGCTGTCCATCTTCCGTTTTCTTTACCCCATACATTGCCTCATAGTTGTGATTTTGCCTGGAGGGATTTTGCCATAGTTGCCACGCTTAGCAGGTGGGTTATCACCTGCAACTTTTTAATTATTTTAAGTCATAGTCAGGAAGATACTACTCCATCCCATCTTACGTTTCATTTCTCTCTGACGCCTCACACGACACCCACGGGATGATATGGGGTAGCGTCGTCACGCCGTCACTACACGGCTGAGAGCATCGATCACTAATAAAAAACTAGATACACAATCAGTCACAAAAAATGGCCTTACCGAATGAGCGCTCACTCAAACATTTGGGTGCGCTTTTAATTTGTACGTAGCATTGCGAATACAACTTTTGACAATGCATTTAAGGTTGAATTTACATTAATGTATATTTATTTAAACTAGAATTATGTTAAAACAATTGACGACAGATTTTAGAGAACTTTTGCATGGGATTGTGTATCTAGTTATTATTAGTGATCGATGGCTAAGAGTCAGTATAACTTATAGAACAAATACACTCGCTTGATCCCAGCAACCCAAACGTCGCAGTCACATCTAACATTGATATACTACACCCACACCAAATGGGACAAGCACAAGTAGGATAATGGATGGGGCGGATCTCATCCGTAGGCGGGCACGACGCGTTCCAGCGCAAACCGCACATCCGCGTACCTGGCCGGTTCTCACCGCCCAGGACATCGACTAACACGAGCTGAGCAGTCAGAGGCGGAGGTTCCGCACTCCCCCATTCGGACAGCGGTTAGATAGCTCAAAAAAAACCTCAACAAAGGGGACATGATGATTGGGGTAGCAATACCAAATCATAAACCAACACCATCCTCATTCTCATCATCATTGTCTTTCCCTTTTTTACATAGCCCTGTGTCAGATGAAGCTGTAAGAGTTGTATAGGCTAACAGCACTTACGTCACAATAGTTGAGAGCCAGTACAATTACGAGTACATGCAAATCTTTTTTAGTTTTCATTGGTGACAATGGATCCATAAGCTTCTTTTTTTTTTAAATTGCCTCTAACCATCAGGTGGACTGTTAGCTCGTTTGATTTTAAATTAATAAAAAAATGAGAATATCTCATAACCTCCATAGATGACAGTGTAACCATCACCTGTGTATGACATTTTCCTTATTGGTCTAGTAGTCGTAAGCACGATTGCTGGTCATGTGGATTAACTGAGTTATTGGTTACTGTTACTAGTTACTGCATTCTTGGTCAAGAAGTTCTCTGCAGTAGCAAGGGATCAGAAAGTTAGCAGTTTCTTCACTAGTAGGAAAGCACATGACGCCGTTGGTCCTGCGACTGATCTCTCTCCGGTGGCACCAGACTATGAGAGTGAGGGAATAGAGAGTACACCTGTGCTTGCACCTATCTTGCACTGATTGCTAGACTCCGTTGAGTAGCCACCATGACGAAATACGGTCTGGAGGACATTGTATTTCATCACATGTCAGTAATGGGTAGCAAGCAGATTGGGTATTTCGATTTGATAATTAGACATCATGGGTGGAAGTTATGGCAAACTCTCCCAATTATATGACACATAGTGGTGAGTTTATGAGCTGGTGGAGGTAACACCAACATGCAATATATATGTAAAAATGTTACCAATATGTGACTTACATATATATCGAAGGCTACTTTACGTTCCTCATCAGTTACATCTTCACCTATCCAGACAAATAAGTCGTCACCCATGTCCAGCGCAAATATTGCATTTTGTCTTAGATCCTGTAAGTAAAGTAAAATTAAAGTTGTTGTTAACTATATATGGCCTACTGTTGGGCACAAACCTCCTCTCATTTCTAAGGGTTTTCAGGCCAAGGTAGTGTCTGCCACGCCGCCCCAATGTAAACTCAAAGACTTCACATGTCTGAGAATTTGTTTAATTTTAGAGAAATACATACATATTTCCTCATAATGTTTTCCTTCACCACCAAGCAGGTGGTAAATCAACATTTACCACCTGCTCGGTCTTGTAAGTTGCAATAAATATTGAAATTTCTGGCTAGTGATTTATTACATGCTGCTTAGGCTAGGTATTCACTTAAAATCTATAGAAGTTTAATTTGCCGGCACAACTTCATTTGCCACATGTGCTTGACTTTCAAGCTGTGTCTTGATGTAGGCCTTTTTTTATAGTATAAGGGTGCTCGTTGCACATAGTCCACCTGATGGTAAGTAGTTGATGTGGCCCATAGACATCTACATCTATTCTTGTGAGAACTAAGATGGAATACCTCGTTTCTAGTAAAAGGGGTCTCCTGTTCACTATACCATACAAAACACAGCAGCATTAAGCTGCTATTTTAGGCTGATATTCTGTGAGATGTGTGATATTATTGGTGTTTTATTTGGTGCAAGAGTGAGCGAAATGAGCTCGGGACTTGGGGCACCCCGACTCGGACAGGTTAGGTTAGAAGCGAACAGACCCCTCCATCACCTATGTGGTAATTTTTTTACAAACCATGCAGAAATAGGAGCCCCGCAAAGCGGGGCTCCGTCAACCGAGCTTCCCTCGACTGCGCCACGTTGATTAGCGTTGGACTACCCTCCCTCAACTCTCTACCCCCACAAATCAGGTTTATATTGTCAAAAACATTACAAAAACATAACCTCAAAATGAGATTTTTAAAAATTTATAAAAAAAACTAAGCACGTCACCCTCACGCAAACAGGAAATGGAAGTGGGGGGTGACACTACAACGACCCTCCCCCTCCCGCACCACTCCCCACCCCCAAATTCAGGCGACTTGATTCTAAACCTTACCCCTAATATTTGTATATTTGTAATCTATAAACTTACGGTTTGTTTGAATTCTGGAATTTCCTCAAAAATCATGGTGTTTCCGGATGTCACAACCCCCTTGTACAGTTTCGGCAACTTTGATTCCATTGTACTATAGGATTTGGAAGCTGGAATTATTTAAAACTTTTCAGATAAGAGCGATTATTTCGCTTATCATTATAATATTCTTTTTGGTTATGACTTAGGGTTATAACATGTTCGGTACATGGCTTATCAGGTATTCAGGCCCCCAGTATTCAGGCCGACTAAGTTAAATAGATCATACCATATTATATACATATTTGATTCAATAAGAATTTTAGAAAAATGAAATTTCATCTAGAGAAACTTTACAAACTTTTTAGTTTTACTTTTATGCAAAGAGTATAGTAACTGTCCTATACAGGAACTTTTATGTTTTGTTTGTTGTTGTCATACAATTCACCAATGAAAATGAATGCAGGCAAAAGACATCGACTATACAGCCTAGTCTGATTTGTATTTTGCAAAAATCTTCACAATAATATAGTGAAGTTCTTGGGAAATTTTGACAACAGCTTAGCCTAGCGGATAGTTGGTGACAATAATATCTCAAGGCGAATGAAAAAAAAAACTGAGATAATACATAAACATCGAAGCACTATTGTTACATCATTTCCACTATAAGTTTATAGTAGTTTAGATTTAGATACAAAATCACACCATTTTAACGTACCAAAATCCCTTTTTATGCCATTATTTAAACGATAAAACAGGAGCAGCAATTCGCCAGCGGTTGATTCATGCTGTCATAAAACATGCTTAAAGCATATACATGTACATGCCTGATTTACTATAAAAGCACCACGGAAAACCTTGCAATATTTATTAAATTAAATTTATTTAAATGTTTTAATTAAAATTAATTTAGGTTTTTTATTTTAGTTTTTTTTTAATTACTAGTTCTTTAATAGTTCGTACTCGAATGAAGTTGTTAAAAAACATTGTCAGTACAATATTTTAAGAACGTATTCACATTCCAAGCGTTGATTAGCTCCAAACAGTACTTTTTCAAACCTGTTAATATCCATAAACCGTTTATCTCACACATATTTTAATTATTAATAACTTTAGAAAATTTTATTGTCTAAATAGTTAGCAAAGAACTTTTTTAGATTAATACAATATTTGTGGATGCTATCAAGAAAAGTAAACAGAGATTTTAATAATTTCCCTTTTAGCGTCAATTTCAAAGCTTTAATCCATTTGAAAGACCCCAAGGAAAATATAAGAAAAGAAATTTTGATTTAGGTTATATACTTAAGAAATTAATAATTCAACCATGTGAAATTTTGAAGAGACTTCTCTAGATAAAAATATTATTTTCACTAATTTATGTTACGTAATTTATTAAAATAAATATGTTAGAAAAACATCTTTTTTAACACTTACCTTTAATAAATAAGAATAAAATAGCTTATTTTTGTATAAATATTTTAAAAGTACTATAATACTCCGCGTTTGGATAAATTCAAGTTTGACATATATGCCAGGATAGTAATAAATTCATAACTCAAAAAATACTGTACATGAAAAATAAAATTATACTATTTGTCCAAAATTTTACCAAGTTTGACGTTTCATATCCCCCTTCCCCCTCCATCAAGCCTCAAAATCTCAAGATCAAGTATCAAGTATAGTTAGGTATAATATAATATGAAATATAGCGGAAAACTATTTCAATGTGTACGTAAGTCGGATAAAATGTAGGTACCTCCTTATATCTTACATAATTATAGATCTAAACTTAGTAACAGTAAATAATGAATAAAACAAGGCTTTACTATAAATATTTTATTAATAATAATAAAATATGTAATTCACAAAAGTGCTGATAAAGCAAAATTTAGAAATTAACAACATAATTTTGGAGATTATTAAAAATATAATTATCAGAACATGAGTATTTCGTATGCTATGAGTATACTTATTGAGTGACAATAATTTATACTTATTTTAATTATTAAAAATAACTTAAGGTCTATTTGTAATATAGTTCGTAAATTATGTTGTGTGTGAAATTCCGGTCTTCTCTCCTAGTAGATTCTGAAAAAAGGTTACTTTTTCTGTAAATAATAATTCCTTCGAAAACAACAATATTATATGCAATATAATTATAAATTATTATCTTTGTAATTGTAATTATATAATAATTCGTTATTAGTCACATGCTTAACATGGGTAATAAAAGTATGCCTTTTATTTTAAATGCATGCCAAAGTATAGGTATAATCACTACGTTTTACGTATGGATGGTAGAGGTAAGGAGGATTATCTGTGTATGAAAGAGTGTCCGACGAAATGCGTTAAATTAGGATGGCGTTACAATAGCAGCCGGGAAAAATTTAAAAACAGAAAAAATATTTTGCGAAGTTTAATAACAGTTCACACTAAAAACAATACTAAACGTATATGAAGTTCACAGAAATACAATTACTCTCCACTTTTCTCACAGCAGTTATTTTAGGTTATATTTAAAAAAATATTTTTGGACTGACTACTCTCCAAAAATATTTTTTTTAACTCTGCGCACTTCAATCTATCACAACTGCTACATTCATACCATACCCTGTTTCTCCGCTAGCGCCATTCTGGAAGGTTTTTCAAATGTCATTTACTGCTTACAGCTGGAAACTTTTTCATCTTGTCCCCCATAATATGTGATAGTCCTCCAATACACTCTTATCTATGATAGTCCTCCTTGCCTCTACCCTCCATAGTTTTACACAATGCATTTTGACGTTTCATTTTATAATTATATATAAGACAGGCAAAAGCTTAGAGCCCATACAGCCAATAAAGCTTTAATTCAGCCTTTATAATATTACTGCCCGTGTAAGTTCTTTTATTCAATACTAAAATTATATCCATTTATTTGTCTTCATCGGTCGTAGTTATTGAATATTTGATAATAATATTGTCTTTTTACCATTGATAAAATGTTCTTTACTTTTGAACTTAATGCTGCTGAAGATGTACTTACCTCCTACAGATCTGACGAGTCTTGAATGTGACATTCCAGCATCGCGCCAAGTCGCGAAATATTGTTTGAATGCAGCTGGCTCAGTTCCTTGAGGAATCTTGGTTACGTGAACCTGATTGAAAAATACTACCTTATTCATAAATAACAGAAACACTTTTTATGCGGTAAAAACAAGCTAATTTTGAAACAGAAATGTACATAATATATAAAATTACGTATAATATAAGTACGTATGGCAAAACACATAAAGAAAAAAAAATACTTTTTTCCTGATTTCTCGAAAGTTCTATATTTTTGCATCTTTTTTGGGAAAATACTATATTTGTTCAAAGAAAAGGTGACAACCCTACCCACAGTATCCACTTACCATCAGGTGAACTGTGTGTTCCTTTTTGTCATTGTTATTCTATAAATCTTTGCTTGGGTTGTTTTTGTCATTGCTTATGGTGGTATATTGCCACAGTTGCCACGCTTGGCAGGATGAGGAAGAAAGGTTCTCGAGTGGCAGCCTCGTACCGATAGGTGAAGAGGTAGGGCAACCCCTCACTAGATGGAGTGACTACCTGGTAAGACATGCAGGAAGTCGATAGATGCAGATGGCTCAGGACCGTGCTTTATGGCATTTCTTGGGGGAGGCCTATGTTCAGCAGTGGACTTGTGAAGGGCTGTAATGATGATGATGACTATGATAAAAGTTATTAAACCATATACATCTTGCTATACCACTATGTACATTGTACGCTATGTATGTACGCATAAATAAATGAATTACTTACCCACGACGGATAATTTTTGGAGCTCAACAACTGCTGCGCCTTTGACATCGCTTCAGTCTTTTCCTAAATTAAAAAAGTTTTTTTTAAATATATAATGGCCTTAAAGTTATGTAAGTCTACTATGTACTATGTACCATAAAAATGTGTGATTCAGCATTATATAATACTCCGTATTGCAAAACCTAAAAAAAACTATTGGTAAATCCAATTGTGCATGCCTTAAGCGCAATAAAAAAATTACGTATAATATGATTATAACTAATTTTTTTAAAGTAGTTTAAATACACACGAGTTTTCACTAATAACCTTACTACTATACTTCCAATTTTCCGATAATTTTATGTTCAATTTCAATTAAAATAAAGTTTGGAAAATCCAAAAATGCACGACTCATAATGCTCATGTGATAATGAAAGAATTGAAAAAATATATAAATTATAGTTCTATTCCTTAAAGAGTTCCAGGAGCAGTCGCCGAAGTACACTTTCAAGTCACTCCGTCAAGTCTGGAGGTAAGATCTATTCATAACTAACAAAAAAACTCGACACATCTAGTTCTCCTCGTCGAGGAGTTTACAGGTATGATGTAAAGACGTGATTAAAGGCACAAGGCAGCAGAAATATTAATTAAAATATAAATGAAAAGAATCCTCTTTTTTGTTCATTGCACCATGTAGGGTTGTCATTTTTTTAATTATAATAACAAAAAAATTGACAACCCTACTCGGAACTCACCCGTTGTGAAGCCTGTTTTCCGACCCACACGTAGATACTGCCGCTGACTGTGTCCAGAATGTACGTTTCCTTGATACAAAAATACAATTAGCTACAAATTTACAATAATGGTTTATAAAAAACTGAGTTTCGTATTCCTTCCGCTGCGGACTAAAGTATTGTGAATTATTTTTTTTAAATGAGAAACTGACAATGGTTAGTCGTAGTGGCGGAGCAAGATAATACACTACCCCGTATCTAGGTCTGCCAGTTCGGAAGACCAAAATATCTGGACAAATTTTGAAAATGTCGGGATTTTGGGGCTGTTGTCTTAAAATGTTTATTTTTTTAACTAAGATGCCACAAATAGTGCTTCAAACAAAACTAATTTAAGTACATTAAATTTAGGTTGCCACATGTATTTGCCAATGGACTTTACTAGAGTCTACCAATTTAAATCATTTAGTAGTATTTAGAAGAGATTTAAAATTCAAGCAACTGACTTCAAAGTTCAGCTGGCAGTCTAATTACTAACTCAGCTTTTTATCAAATTAAAGGATATAAGTTTGGTCTGGAGATTTTGAGTTTTTTGTCATCATTTAAAATGTGGGAGAATCCCAACCATCTGGTAACCCTACCCGCATCCCGTGGGTGTCGTAAGAGGGAACTGAAACAGGAGATTGTCTGTTGTCGTGTCAGCATCTTCCTGATAACCGATTTAAAATATATTATTAATTTAAAAAGAAATAACATCACTATAGCAAATATCCCCTATGAGGCAATCTATGGGAAATTCCTATGTTCAGCATTGGCCTTTTGATTGGTTGTAATTAATAAAGAATGCATGAAGAGTGACAAATTAAGACAGTCTTTTTTTATAGAATAAGATTGACAAACGAGCGCACAGTGCACCTGATAATAAGTGGACGCTGTGGTCCATAGACATCTACATCTATCTTCGATTACGAATCAAAATCCAATTACTGATTATGTCCAGAACCATATTACCAGCCGCCGCTTACGACCAGTATACCAACATGACAACAATATAATAAATTAAGTGAATACTAACTTGGGGTTTGAGTTGCTCCTGTCTAAAGGGCTTCCTCAGTGGCGTAGCCACCAATGATCCAGTGCTGTCAGAAATCTCCGACAGATTCACATTGTCTTCTTCACTTCTCTCGAACGTCTAGATAAAAAAAAAACTTTTAATAATAAGTAAAAGCTGACTCCAAAGAACTAACAAGTTAAAGTTACATTTGAGAGGTTTTTAACGAAAGGCCATGAACTTCGCTTTGTCCCAATGCGTGTTGGCGAACTTCACATGTCTTTGAAATTGTACGGAACACCTTTAAATAATATATTATATAAGAAAAAATGATTTATTTAAACTTAATAATGATATTGATAAAAAATTAATAATGATATTAATACAAAATTGATAATGATATAGAACGCGTCCGCCGTGCTCGGAATGAAAATGCGACTTACTGAAAAATAAAGTAAATGACGCAAATGATGTTGACCTAAATAAATCGCTTACTAACAAAAATGTACGGTTGCACTGAACAGAAATATTTTTTTCTAATTTCTCATACAGGTTTCCTCGCGATGTATTCCTTCACCGCAGAGCACATGGTAAATAAGCACTTAAAATTGCAATTAACAATTTCAATGGTGCCGTTCAACTTTACAGCGAGCGTTAAACCCGAGTTGCCACGGCTCAAAGAACTAAAAATACTGTATAGAAGAATCAAAATGCCATTTTCAGAAGATACTATGTAATATACATATTATCTTACCTATTAAATAAAAAGATAATCAAAAATGTCGCTTCACAATTGGCAACGATATCGCGTAACATTCCTACAAAAAAGTCGATTTGGGTATTTTCTCTTTCTTGGAAGTCGGCTATAAATTACAGCCCTGCATATTAGTGAATTACCATTCGATATCTTTGCTTCCTGTTTTGAACTCGATTTACATTTTTTTTTATAAAATAAGGATGACAAACGAGCACACAGTCCACCGGATGGTAAGTGGTTGCTGTGGCCCATAGACATGATACATCTATCTTCGATTGCGAATCGAAATGTAGATTTGTCGTCACCCCTGAGGACTGAGATGGAATGCCCCTTTTCCAGTAAAAAGGGTCTCCGGTTCTCTACACTTGCCATACGAAAAGCAGCAGCATTAAGTTGTTATTACACTGGTATTCCCAGTAATATAACTGCAGCGTGGCTCTACCACCTAATAATTACATGATTATCAGCTAAAACAATAATAAGGTACAGCTACAGCGTGGCGCAAACATTTAAAAAAAATACCTGATCATCACCACCGGCGCTTGGTTCCGGAACGATGTCTTTTGTGCCAGATCCTAATGCGGTGAAGAACTTCTGAACGTCCGTTTCACTGGAGTACTGGTCTGAAAGAGAAGGTTATTTTTTTTTTTCTAGCTGTTACCCGCCCACTATGTAAATCTATAATTCTATAAATATACAATATGTAACGAAAACCCTGTGGTTCCTGTTAAGAACGTTATCAGGATCATTATTCAAACCTATAGAAATAACTTTTTTTTAAAACTCGAACAATTATATTTTTTATTTTATTAAAAAAAGTTGTATGCAAATTGTATGTGGTTTTATTACCTCTGCATTGTCTGGGGAGTAAGAGGATTGTCAAAGACCCCGCTTTACTTAGCTTTAGCATCGGCTAGTGTCAGTAAGAGGTAATACAACCACATAAATTTTTTTTTTTTTAAATAAAATTAAAAACAAATATGGTCGAGTTATTAATAAGTTATTCCTATAGGTTTGAATACTGATCCTGATAACGTACTTAACGGGAACCACCGGGTTTTTGTTACATGTTGTATAAAAAATTAAAGTGATTGTCTGTAATATTGAAATAACTGGCTGCTAAGGGGATTATTTGGATGTAATTAAAATATGAATATTCATTTTTAAAATTGTTGTCTGTCTGTCTGTCTGTCTGCCTGAGCTAATCTCCAGAAAGGCTGAACCGTTTGTGATGAAATTTCGCAAGCCGATGGAAGGCAATGACAGTAGGGATTTTTTTTTGAAAAAGAAAACGAAAAATTGCAAAAATTATGTCTTTAATTAATCTGTCTAAATAACGCCACTTTCATAGAACCTCCTGGCAAGACCGTGGCGGGTCGATGCTAGTCTTAAATAAAACTTTAGTAGTAACTATTATTAAGTCTCCATAACACGTCAGTTGCACCCATGTTCGATCACCGCCGGCACCAATGGAATTGTTTATTGCAATTTTAAGTGTTGAATTACCGCGTGTTCCATTACAGAAAAAAAAAAAACGAGAAAACCTGTATATCTAAATAATAATAAAAACAATCAAAGATATGTGAAATCCACCAACACGGTTTGAAGCTGAGCGTGGAATATACTTTTTAATAGAATAAATGTAACAAACGGGAACACAGTACACATCTGATGGTAAGTTAATGCTGTGGCCTATTGAGTAGACATCTACATCTATTCTCGTTTAAGATGCGGATGCGTTGTCACCTTAGGACTAACGGTGCGTACATATTATATAATATAACATCTTATAAAGCGTGTTATATAACGTGACACAAATGTAATATAACTAGAGAGTATTTTTCTCTAGTCAATAAAGTAGGATGAACCCAGTATCTGTTTTTTTTTGTTATATAAAAGTACAAGAGTTGCTGGAGCAGCTAGCAAAACGTCCTGTTGTGTCGACATTGTGAATAGCACTACAGAACGACAATCGACAATGTCATATAACATTGTTATAATGCATTGTTATTCTAATGTGTATTGATATATGTTGCAATATTGAAAAACAATGTAACATTATGTGGACGTGTTATAAAACAAAAGTTACACAACATGTTACTTAAACTGTACGCACCCTAAGATAGAATACCTCGTTTCCTGTAAAAAGGGTCTCCGATTCTCCACACTCACCGTACGAAACAAGCTGCTTTTTTACACTGGTATTCGACGAGAACGAGTCTCGGTTAGAAAGAGTAAGGCCAGCTTCGCCGTTTCCAGATGGGAATGGACGGCGTTAAGGTTTGAATGAAGTCCCGTGATGTTGCAGAAATTCACAAATAGCGTGGCAGGGGAAGCCTTTGACTTATTGCTCCGTTTGCCCCGAGCAGATTTAGTCTCGAGCGGAATTTTACTCCCTCAGAATACTTTTGATTCCGGTGGCTTAGAAGTTTGATTTTTTCACAGCTTCAAGGGACAGTAAACTTGAGTATTTGATATGAATTTCAGCTTGATACCTCCACGCGTTCCTGAGAAAAAGAGTCTTGACAGACAGACTGAGGGACAACAAAGTGATCCAATAAGGGTTCTGTTTTTTCCTTTTGAGGTACGGAACCCTAAAAACAACTTTTTCGCATAAAATATAGTATTTTTTATAGGATTAGGGTGACGGGTGAAGAGCGAGCACACAGTCCACCTGATGGTAAGTGGCTGCTGTGGTCCATAGACATCTACATCTATCCTCGCTTACGAATCAAAATGCACATGCGTTGTCAGCCGTGAGGACTAAGATGGAATGCCTCGTTTCCACTAAAAAGGGTCTCCGGTTTTCTACACTCACCATACGAAACACAGGAGCATTAATCTACTATTTTACGCTGTTTGTGATGTTGGTGTCTATAGGCCTCATAATCCACTTATAGTACTCCGTGGTATCGGTATATTAATAAAAAAAAAAGAAAACACTTTATACTACCGATAATTTCAACACGTCCCCTTCCATTGTGGTCCTGGTCTCTGATCTGGTTGGCGACGGAGATAGCCTTCAGCCTCTCCTTGTTGTTGGCGCCTTCACCCACGTATACCAAGATGTCGTTATTTATGTCCAGGATGAAGCAGTCTCCTTTATTCATTGACGAGATGAGCGGGTCCACCTGGGAGAGTGCGTGAGATTATTATTATGATTGCGGATCTGTACCTACTAAGTACTCTGTGTTATAGCGGCGCAAGATAATCCGTTATCCCTAATCATCCCGTGGGTGTCGTAAGAGGCGACAGAGGGAAACCGAAACAGGAGATGGGACAGCAGCATCTTCCTGTTAATTCAATCTAATAAAACAACTCCTTGCAAGCGTGGCAACTACGGCAAATAGCCCCCCCCCCCCCCCTACAAGGGCTGACCTTTGACTGTAATGATGATGATGAATGAGGGTCTTACGCTTACCAGATGTCGCTAGTTGGGGCTAAGGTGAACTTATTTGTTGATGGTCACACATCTTTGAAAAGTTTCGATTTAATTTTTTTGACGGCTCCGTGGCGCAGTGGCTTAGCAATGAGTTCCAACGCTTGGGGCTGCGGGTTCGTATCCCGCACGGAACAAGTATTTGTATGGCCTACAAATAATTGTTCCGGGTCTGGATGTTTGTCCTTGTGCAATTTATGTTTGTAAACTGCCTCCACGATACAGGAGAAAATCCTAGTGTGGGGGTAACCTTTTTTAAAAGAAAAAAAAATTAAAACTTTTTCGGTTTCTAGTGTATGTATGGATATACACAAAACGATGCCTCGGTTCTTTATAATCAGACATTTCTAACTTTTTCTATCGACTTCAAAAAGGTACTCAATTCGACTGTATGTTTTTTTATGTGTGTTACCTCATAACTTTTTTTCTGGGTGAACTAATTTCGATGATTCTTTTTTTATTTGTAAGCTAGTGCTTCTCATCTGGTCCCATATAAATTTGATGAAGGTCTGATCAATAGTTTTTTAATTTATATTGAATTCGGTTGTACAAATTTTTTAATTTTAAATTATTTAAATCTAATTTTAGGAATATCCGTACAGGTTTATTAAGTTTTAACCTAATTAATACAAAATACAACTAATATTTAAGAAAATTCACCACCCCATTTTGTATCGTGATTGCCGTAAGAGACGACTAAGGGACATGTGAAATGATTTTCTGCCGACTTCCAAAAAGGAGACGGTACTCAATTCGAGTGTATGTTTTTTTTATGTGTGTTACCTCCAAACATTTTACTGAGTGAATCGATTTCGATGATTGTTTTTTTATTTGAAAGCTGGTACTTCTCGTGTGGTCCCTTATAAATTTGATCAAGGTCAGACCAATAGTCTTTGAGCTATTCTTAATAACTTATATTGAAGTCGGCTGTACAAAATTTTTATTTTTAAATTATACTCGTATGTGGTTAATTCATGCTGCAGCTATATTATTATGGCGGCAGCACGAGTAGGTCGGCTTGGCCGGTTTAGGACCATGCTCTCACAGAATAACAGCGTGAAACAGCAGAACTATGCTGTGTTACGTATGGTATGTGTTGTGTGTGAGAACCGGAGAAACTTTTTACTGGTATCGATGTATTCCGTTTTAGTCATCAGAGGTGACAACATATCTGCAATTAAAATTTATTAAAACTTTATCGCGGATAATCGTAGACGTCTATAGGCCGCAGTGAACGCTGATGCGTTTACGCGATTACCATTCTTAATGCATATGCGTTGTCAACATTGAGGACTAAGATGGAATGCCTCGTTTCGAGTAATAACGGTCGCCGGTTCTTTAAACTTACCATTCATCTATTTTACGCTGGTGTTCTGTGAGAGCGTGGTCCTACCCCGTTCGAGCCGAACCATTCGTGCTATAATAGCTGCAGCGTGGTTCTAACACGTACCACGTGAGAATTTCTAAATCCTCATCGTAATTATGTAGTTCAGTTAATTTCGTGAGAGGCGATTGTAGTGAAGAGCAAAATGGCCTCATCGGCTTTCATAGATCACGAAACGCCATCTCGTATATCCACTACAGCCTATAAAAGTCCACTGCTGAACATAGGCCTCCCGCATAGATTGCCTCATGGGGGGATTTTGCCATAGTTGCCACGCTCGCAAAGCGGGTTGGCGAACGCAGTTTTTTATTATTTTGAGCTGTTATCAGGAAGATGCTGCTGCCCATCTTCCCCCTGTCGCCTCTTACGGCACCCACGGGACGATATGGGGAAGTGGATATTCTTACACCGTCACTACACAGCTATAACTCGTATATATCTCTTGTAAAATATTCGAGACCCAAGTCCAGCTTACTCTTACGAGCTGATGATGAAACTTACCTGTCTGACGCGGACGTTCTTTTTGCCTTTGATCTGAAACAGACGCTTCTCAGCGCCTGGGTTGGTGACTACATGGTTGAAGCCTGACGCAGCACCGCCGTCCACGTACCTGATCGCTGTAACAATTAACAACTCTTCATTACGCCGTCTCGCTTCCATTGCAGAACGAAAGTATCTCCAAAATTGGGGCACCAAGTCCGCGGTCCAAAGCCGGTCCAGCAACTCTCTTTAGGTTTTTTGTTCTTCTTTGCCTCCTTTTTAAAAAAAAGTTACCACCACAGTAAGATATTCTTCTGTATCATGGAGGCAGTATACAAACATAAATAAGTAGAAACATCCAGACAGTTTTTTGTAGGCCATACAAATACTTGTTCCGTGCGGGATTCGAACCCGCGGCCCTCAATCCCAAGCCACTACGTCATGAAGTCCCCACTCAATCTAATGGAGTAGGGTAAGACTTCTAATATTGCAAACCTCAACAAGTCCACTGCAGCACATAGACCTCCCTCAAATATTGCTGTAAGAATAGTCCTAAGCCGCCCACAACTATCGACTGCCTGCGTGTTAATCAGGTCGTCACTCCACCTAGTGTATGTACGTACAGTACGAGGCTGCCACTCGAGAAATTTTCATCCCTTTCAGTTGTCGGTATATCGAGCTATATGGCCGGTCCGTTGCTTCGGCTTACTGATCCGCTGGTATATTTAATTTACTTTTGTTCTTCTGCGGATATTCTAATCTTTGTAAATATTGTATCACATAAAAAAGGGTGGCAGAATTTGGCGGCCAAAAGTTTATAATGACGCCTATAATCTATCACAAGGAGTGACGACTTGCTTAGACTTGTAGGAACCTAAAGGAAGCAGGTATTAGCTATTTACTATGTATACGTGGTAAAGCCATGCTGCAGCTATATTAGTAATATAGTTGTATAGTACGAATGGGTCGGCTCGACCGGGGAAGGTCCATGCTCTCACAGAATACCAGCGTAAAATAGCAGTTTAATGCTGCTGTGTTTCGTATGGTGAGTGTAGAGAACCGGAGACCCATTTCACTGAAAAAGAAGCATTCCATCTTAGTCCTCAGGGGTGAGAACGCATCTGAATTTTGATTGTTAATTGAGGATAAATGTAGGTGTCTATGGGTCACAGCAAACCAATTACCATCAGGTGGACTGTATGCTCCTTGGTCACCCTACGTCATAAAAAACAAGGTAGCTCAGGGTTGTGTTTTATGGCAATATATTGGAGAGGCTTACATCAGTAGTAGAATTGTGATGGGCTGTGTCAGTACTTCAAAAATTCTTAAACTCGATGGGATGTTTTTTTTTTTATAGAATAAGGGTGACAAACGAGCATGCCGTCCATCTGGTGGTAAGTGAGTACCGTGGCCTATTGACATCTACATCAATCCCCATAAGGACTGAGATGAAACGCCTCGTTTCCAGTAAAAAGGGTATCCGGTTCTCTACACTCACCATACGAAACACAGCAGCGTTTAGCTGCTATTTTACGCTGGTATTCTGTGAGAGCGTGGTCCTTTCCCGGTCGAGCTGACCCATTCGTGCTACAACCATAATATAGCTGCAGCATGGGTCCATCACGTGATGATGATATAATATCCAAAAATGCAGCGTTGTATAAAATATTGGGTGTGCACGCAACCGATATCATTAGCCGTTTCTTTTTTGTTTTTCCTTGTCATTCACTTTCGACGTGAATACCTACGTCTTTAAAGCTTCCATAGTGAGAGACAATTCTGAAAACTGATGATAAAAAAATCGGGGATGCAGTTTGTTGTTGCAGCTACATATAATATATCATTTACATTCAACATTTAATGATACCATTCCATAGCTAAGTGTCAAAGAAGTCGTGACGTTGAGTGAGGACTGTGACGCATCGCGAGCGGCGCGGCGGAGGGGGAAGCGCCACCATTTTGAGTTCGTTTCGTTTAGTATCGAAACAAATCTTTTATCTTTTATTTTTTTAAATATATCTTATTTTTCTATTTTTCTCTCCTTCCATTATATGGCCAGTAAACAGCCACACCCCGATTTTTTTACGTATTTTCTTTTCGGCCAGTATGTTTTAAAAACTGACGACACGATGACGACGAGCTTGGCCTTTCATAAATTGCACAATATAATGTATTTAGGTAGAGTAAAGGATTTCTGCATCAATTCTTCAAGGGTTACATTTGGAGATTATCAAAACATTAATATGCGAAACACCGCAACCACCAGTCAAAGTAAAACGCCTTACCCGGTTGGAATAAAGACTGGAACTGTTGGCTCTCATGGCCCAAGGCCTCCCTGTGCTGGACGGCAGCGCCTCCGAACTTGTCGTCCAGACCCACAGTCAAGATGGCGGCGGCTCCGGACTCGTCCTGTGTGGACTCGCTACCGATCCAGTAGTAGATGTCCCATGATAAGTTGTTTCTTTTGTCGGCTGTTGTCTATGAAAAAATGCATAGATTTTTTACCAATTTTTATTATTAATATTAATAAAAAAAAATTACGTCCAGCTGATGCTAAGTGGATATTGTGGTCCATGGTCATTTACATCTATCCTCGATAAAGAAACAAAAGGATTTAGGTGGAATGCCTTGTCGCCAGTAAAAAGGATCTCCGGTTCTCTACACACACCATACGAGAAACAGTAGCGCTACGCTGCTATTTTACGCTGGTATTCTGTGAGAGTATGGTCCTTCCTCAGTCGAGCCGACCCATTCGTGCTACAACTATACCACTAATATAGCTGCAGCATGGCTCTACCACGTAAAAACTCTACCCTACGCTGCTTATACTGCTTATAATGTTATATAAGGTTTTTTTTATAAAAAAATACTAGTAATATTATTAAACATTACTAATGCTGAGTATCTTGCCGGTTCTTCCAAGGGCAGAGGTTGTATCCTAACTAGAGGTAAGGCCATAACTATATTGAATAAAATTATTTTCTGCCGACATTTAAAAAGGAGACGGTACCCAATTCGCCTGTATGTTTTTTTTTATGTGTGTTACCTCATAACTTGTTACTGGGTGAACCGATTTCGATGGTTCTTTTTTTATTTGAAATCTGGTACTTCTCGTATGGTCCCATATGGTCAATAAAGGTGGGACCAATAGTTTTTGAGTTATTCTTAATAACGTATATTGAAGTCGGCTGTACAACGTTTTTAATTTTAAATTCTATTCTGTTCTATTGTATTGTTAAATGTTAGAATACTTACTCTGAGTACAATATAGGAATCTCCCTTGTTGAATTTGCCCACATCATTCTGAGAGACGGCGACAGGGTTGAAGTTCTAGAAACAAAAGACAGCAAAGTAACAAAAAGAAATTCGAATAAACCTAGCAAGCTAACAGCATAGCAAAGTGGCGAAGCAATCAGCTTTGTAGCGGTTTCTGACGGTTGCCGTTGAGCAATCAGTTTCAAAATAGGAGGTTCAGATGCCTGGGTGATCAGTAATCGATTGCTGAAAATAGAATTTGAAAATTCGAAACCGTTCTCGAGATAATCGTGGGACAGACGGACAGACGGACAAACGGACAGACGGATAAACGGACAGACGGACAGACATCGTGAAATCAATAAGTGACTTCGCAAGCTTCGCCACTTAATAACTAAGCTATATTAGTTCTTAATTTGCTCATTTGTTGTTTAAGGTAGTTTCTAAATTTTTACGATTGAGAAAACTTACTGTACCACTTCCAATAGTTTATATACGAGCGACCTGCCCCGTCTTCGCCTGGGTGGGATCTATTAACGTCGCATCATTTAGATGTTTTTTTTTAAATAATCATCAATGTAAATTTATTTCAACAATTTTTCAAAAATCCATGCATGATAAAATGTAGCCTAGCTCACGGCATCATTTCAATCAGTTTAGCAATTGCAAAGATTACCTCGAACAGACAGACAGACATACATACAGAGAGGCAAATAGACAGACAATTTTTTTTAAAATGGTTCTTTATGTTTTAATAGCGTGTAAATACCCCCCCCCCTCCCCCTTAGTTCAATAAAATGCAGTTATTTTGATATTACATTTTAATGCTATACATTTATACATACGAGTACAATAAATAAAATTTGGAATGTCTGTAATGTCAAAATAGCAGCTTTGGAATGTATATATACGATACTTATAACAAAAAACACCATTTTGAAATGTTTGTCTCCGAAACTGCTGGACCGACTTTGATGGGACTTTCACTGGCAGGCTGACGTTATAAGGAGTAATTTAGGCTACTTTTATTTAAGAAAAAGAATTAGGGTTCCGCGGAAAAAAAAACCTAAATTACATGCGGGCGATGTCGCGGTTTATAAACTAGCTGTTCCCCGCGACTTCGCCCGCGCGTAATTTATTACGATTGGATTTCATGGGTTTAAATTTTTTGCGCGGAACCCTAATACTTTTTCTAAAATAAAAGTAGCCTAAGGGACTTTTTATGATATCAGCTATCTGCCAGTGAAAGGCCCAATCGTTTTGAAGATTAGCTGGAACAAAGGGACAGATAGACAGACTGACGGACATACAGACTGACGGACAGACAGACAGACAAAAATTTTAAAAATTGGTTTTTTGTTATTAGTACCGTATATACTTTCACACGCATTTAGTAAAATGCAGTTATTTTAACATTACAAACAGACACTTATATAAATATTATATACTTTATAGATTATATAAATATTTTATACTTTACGCGTGTTACAGTGCCAATACAGCTGCGGGCGCGGTTATATAGCGCCCCATGATCTAAGCCTGTTGTAGTAAGTATATTTTTTTACTCGGTCAGTACGTGTCGGCAATAAAATACCCCTATGTGCGTAATGACCGTCCAATTTCGTTCAAATGCTAGATCATCGTTTAGTTTATACAGTACAAACTATGCCAGGTCTAACACCAGCCGAATTCCACCGTTCTGAGGAATGGGGCATAGGCACAGGTATCCGACCATGCAGCCTATACGGGCAAATGATGTAACTACGTTCTGTTATACGTATATACTCACCACTATCCTCCACACTTCCACGCCCGCTTGCCTCCCGGCGTTGGCGAATGCTGGATGAACGCTGGCCTTGTATCTTGCATCCTATAACAATGAAGAACAAATGCAAATCATCTAAAATTTCAGTTTTTTTTTAAATATAGAATTAGGGTAACAAACAAGCACACAGTCCATCTGATGGTAAGTGGTTGCTGTGGCCCATAAACATTTATATCTATCTTCGTTTGTGAATTAAAATGCAGATGCGTGGTCACTCGTGAGGACTAAGATGGAATGCCTCATTTCCAGAAAATAGGGTCTCCGGTTCTATACACTGACCAAACCAAAACACAGCAGCGTTAAGCTGCTATTTTACGCTGGTATTCTATGAGAGCGTGGTCCTTCCCCGGTCAAGCCGACCCATTCGTGCTACAACTATACTACTAATATAGCTGCATCATGGCTCTACCACGTAAAAAAAGCGTTTGATTATTTGGCCATTACTCTGGCATTAAGGAAAGTCGGACGGATTGTCGTTGCTACAATCCAGTAAACATTAGAGTATGTATATGTAGGAAACATTTGTTATTTTTCTTATTTAGCTGTTGGAGTTATATCAAAATTAACAAATAATGTCCACCAAATCAATCGGTCTTGATGACCAGTCTCAATGAAAACTATATCTGCGCTGGACAGGACTAATGTGTACGAGTGTGTAAACAGTTGTACTCTCTATTGACTAAGTCTCATTGTCCGATGGGACAGTAATTCGACACACCCGGAGAGATCACACGCAGGACCAACCACTTTACATGCTTTTCGAGGCAAGGGGTTGAAATAACGAAAACTTCCTGACTCCGGGCAGCTACGGAAAATTTCAAAACAATAAAACTAATCAACGATTTTGGCCCCAACCCGGGATTCGAACCTGGGACCACACGATAGCAGTCGTGCTTACGATCAGTAGACCAACGAGGTAATCAAAAATAAAAAAAACCTGCATAGGTATATAATATGTATAATTCCTCGATACATTTTTTTTTTTCTCAGACACGAGGGTTTATTTAATTTTATATATAAAAACGTTAATAAAAACGGGGGCAGTACACATACTTAAATTTTACAAGGACAAACATCCAGACGCGGAACAATTATTTATAGGCCATACAAAAAACATGTTTCGAGCGGTATTCGAATCCGCGCTCCTCAGCGCTGCAACTCATTGCTTAACCAATGCGCCACGGAGCCGTCAAAGGTTTCTCATGGTTTTCCTTTACGTCGATCACCTGATGCTGACAGAGATAGAATTCGAGTGCTGGTGGAGGTGTAATACATTTTATTCAATAGTTAATTAATATTTGTTGGTAGAGACATGCTGCACCTGTGTTATAGTTGTAGCTTGTAGCACGAATGGGTCGGCTCGACCGGGGAAGGACCACGCTCTCACAGCATACATGTTTCATATAGTAAGTTTAGAGAATCGGAGTCTGTTTTACTGGGCAGCTTATAACCGCGTATAATCCTTTATAGCTTTTTTTTTTTATAGGATAAAGTTGACAAACGAGCACACAGTCCACCTGATGGTAAGTGGTTGCTGTGGCCCATAGACATCTACATCTATCCTCGATGACGAGTCAAAATGTAGATGCGTTGTGAGGACTAAGATGGAAGGCCTCGTTTCCATTAAAAATGGTCTCCGGTTCTCTACACTAACCATACGAAACACAATAGCGTTAAGTTGATATTTTACACTGGTATTTTGTGAGAACGTGGTCCTTCCCCGGTTGAGCCGAACCAGTCGTGCTACAACTATATACCAGTAATATAGCTGCAGCGCGGCTCTAACATACTTTGCTAAATCTTAATCTAGAACTTCTACAGATTGTACATGACATACCTGAGACGCCTTAAAGAATTTTTTCATCGCAACTTAGAACAATTTAAGAGCATTAATTATTTTTCGCAAATGAAAAAAAAAACGAAGCTCCACTACTGCCAGTTCCAATGGAGTCAAAAAACGAAATCCCTAGTGATTTTGAAGAACGAACTCTGAACCATTAACCTATTTCCGGCACCAACCCTATGGGTGTGTTTTTAAGGGCACTAGGCATATAGATATAGTTGCTTGACCTTTCTATATCGATCCATTACAATTTAGCATCGAATCGGGTTTCACAATATTTGGCATATGACTAAAAAATCGGATAACATTATGTAATCCACAGATTATATTTAAATAATAAGATGTAATCATTTTGAATGACAGATATGTTTGACATTTGGTATATTTTTAAAATTTCTCTTGTCAGGCAATATTAATTAGGGCATCACTTAGGTCCTGTCCGCACTGCGATATTTCACCGCGCGATTTTTTTCTCGCAATTCTGTAACACATAGAATGTTATAGGAGTAGCCGCACTGGCGGTAAAAAAATCACGCGGGAAAAAATCTGTGATTTGATGCAAATTGAACGCGAAGCGGTGCGATTTATTTCCGCGCGAATATTTTGTGCAGTATAAAGTAAGTATGACTATGTTCGCTCTCTCCAGCTAAAATTATTTAATCGCCCAACCAACAAGTCGTAGTAAATTATCGAATGATTTTATAGTCATTTTGTAATATACGAAAAATTTTTACTATATTTTCGCAGCCATTGATGTTTTATGTAGAAAAATACTTTCATAGGTCTCAAGGCCGTAAATTAGTGAATCCAATGTTCATGACATCTTTTGATACGTCTATCACGCCGCCGCCGTAGTATCAGATAAATTAATAAAATTCTGTGATTCATTTTTAGACGTGCTTTTGGGAACTGCATCAAACTAACAAAAATCGTATGAAATTTTATTCGCATTGCGTACTAGGTGTAATTCCTATCACGGAATATAATACGCCAGAATAAAAGTCGCGCGGTGAAATATCGCAGTGCGGGCAGGGCCTTAGAGTAATTCATCATCATCATCATTACAGCCCTTCACAAGTCCACTGCTGAACATAGGCCTCCCCCAAAGAATGCCACAAAGTACGGTCCTGAGCCACCTGCATCCATCGACTTCCTGCATATCTTACCAGGTCGTCACTCCATCTAGTGGGAGGACGCCCTACACTTCCGGTACGAAATAATTAAATTATTTAATAATTAATAATTTAATTTTACCTTAGAGTAATTACTTCTAAGGTAATTACATAGAATACACCAGTATATTCTAAGTCTATGATATATGACATACATAGGCATCCACGACTTTTCTGCCACCAGGGCGGCGCCACTTAAAATGAGGTGTAATATTTGACAGATTTTATAGCGCGAAAGCTAATTGTTCGTTAAATTTAAAGGTTACCTAATATTTCTTGCTGTACTTTTGTGTATTATATTATATATTAATTACATTATAAATAATAAACCAAACCATATATATTCATAAAAGTATAGAAAATTACAAAAAGAGTTAAATATATGCAAAAAATTAAAGAGCTAACCACTGAGGCATTGTTTTGTGTATTAATATTATACTCTAGAAACTGATAAACTTTTATTAAAAACTAACTTCTCAATTAAATGACATTGTGTAACAAAAAACTTCACCTCAGTGTCAACTAGCGACATCTGGTGACAGGAAGATAACCCTCATTATTATGATTTTTTTTTTTTTAACAACAATACATATATTTTTAAACCAGTACTAATCTAATTTAATGTAAGTAGGCCTTCTATATTCTACCAACAGTGAACCGTGGTAGATCATTGGCTAGCTCGCAGTAAATTACACAGTACGCGAGCAACCCGGGTAGCTCGACCTTCAGTCCTCAGTGGTAAAGCAAATCATTGCGAGGCAATCTAGACGAGAATTTTTTTTTAAAGACATGTGAAGTTCGTCAACGGGTATTGACGCCGCGCGCCGAACTTTCTCCATAACATTTCCATAAATAGAGCACACCTTTGCCAAGCATTGACCTCTATACCGGCTAAATTTGCAGAGAACGTTCAGAATAAGTAATATGGGCAAATTGTGAAGAAAAATGAATTAAAAAAAATCTCAAATATTCTGTACTTTTTATCTTTTAAATTCAAAATGCGAGTTAATGCATTAATTTAACTGATTTTACTGCGCACACACACACACATTCGTAATACCCCATTTAGACTCTCGCCTCGCGCCTCGCCTCGTACCTCGCCTCGCAGCTCGCAAGTGTTTTTGCGAGGTAACGAGTGCTTGTTTACACTCTCGCGATGCATTCAGTTTGCGTTGAACCAGCAACGATGGAAGACGTCAAAATAATAACGACATCAACTCTTGCCTTAATAAATATTTATCGATGCTTGACCATTTTAAAAAGAAGAAAATTAAAAAATTTCATAGATTTTTCAAAGATTTCATAGATTGCTTTTTTCTTCGTAGGTGTTGATGAAAGGTAGCCATTAGCGAATTCTTTTTTACTTTGAGCTCTGCTAGCGGTCTGCACATAACCTCGGAAATTCTATTCCACGCATCATTTACTTTTTGGGTATTTTTATGCATAATATGTTTTGGATCCCAAATTATTCCACTCAGCCTGATAGAGTTCCAAGAACATGCTTTTCCTCTTGCGACTAGTCCATTTTTAATTGAAGTCGAACGTGTAAACCCAACAAAACAACACAACCTGCACGGAAGGGCGCCGTAAGGTTTCCTCACCTAGTTTTCCTTCACCGCCAAACACGTGGAAAATCAGCACTTAAAATTCCAATTACTATTCCATTGGTAGAGTTCAAACTAAATTTCCTCGTGTACTGTGAAATTTTAAAACTGGCTTATCTTTAGACCTATCTTAGAAATTAGAGGTCTGTGCCCCTCTGTAAGTCTTAAATAGATTGTTACTTTACTTTTAAGTAGTGCAGTAGCGTTTGGTTGCAAGTTCGAATCCCGCACGGAACAAGTGTTCATATGGCTTACAAGTCCATGAGCTGCTGTGTGGGCATCAATTTTAACAAAACAAAAGAAAATCATTTTGTTTATAGTAGTACCTGCCCAGGAGAAAGTCCTAAAGTCTAGATAGACACTACCCTCTTTTCTATCATTGCCCCAAAGTTTAAAGAATAATTTGTTGAGCCAATATTATAGGTT